ACACACACACACACACACACACACACACACGCGCGCACGTCCGTTTAGTAGTGTATATTTCGATGTTCTAGTAGAAGATACATTCGATTTTGCTCGGAAGTACCGTGAGGCCAGTCGCGGGGTTGGAGACTTACCCGTTGGCCGGTGCGTTGCTCATCTCGATGAAAAACACACACACACACACACGCACTCACACACACACACCTGTCTCTTATACACATCTAGATGTGTATAAGAGACAGATATTCAACGGGGAGGGTCCGTTGTACCATTCAACGGGAATTCAACGGGACCCTGGGGGCTATTCAACGGGTACAGCGGAGTTGAAACTTTCCCGTTGCCCGTTGAATAGACACATAGGGATGGTCCGCATAAGAGTCTCCTACTACCACTTGAATGTTAGGTAGTCATTCTTGCAGAATCAACACTTAGTTAGATAAATAATATGGTAAATCGCACATAAGTATCCCACCATTCGTCTTTCACTGAACAATATTGCGTGTGAGCAGTGAGATAACTCAGATATGAGCCTCCATCTTACCGCTTTGCTCTCCAAAACCAAACAATCTAGGTTTATTTTCGATTCACGTAAGTTTCTCTTTTTTTTCCTGCAAGATTCTTACGTCACACTATATTCATTTTCTTTCTGATAACCTTACTCATGAAGAAAACACAAAATCATATATCATGCAACCTTACACGCAAATTGGTAGAAGGTTGTAGTTTGTAAAGGTATACGGAAAAAGGGCAAGGCATGTATACTCTTGGTTTCCTGCCTCTGAAGTTCCCCCTGAACTCCGGCAGAGCTCCCGCAATCGTCCTGTATTCCGGATACAGAGCAAATACTTGCATGATTCTGAAAGCTTCTTCAAAGCTAAAATTGATCTCAAAGAAAAATATTATTTTGTAATCATGTTTGAGGATTTGTTAGAGGGAGAATGAAGGAGGATGGAGGAGGTAGGCACCATCCAAAGCGATAATGTCCCTCTTCTCTCCAATGTCTCACATTCTTCCCTATTTGATCCCTCCGTCAAAACAACAACAACAACAACAACAATAATAATCTTGATACTATTAATGCATGCAAATGGGCTAGCGTGGGCCCCAGTAGAAACCGGACCGGCATTGCGCGGGCCGAGTGGGACAGTCGAGAGTCGAGGGAGGGTCGGGCCCGACACCGGGAAGTGAAGCGCGGTGGCCGCTGACAGCCGACGAAGTAGAGCGTTGGGGGAACAACAGGGGACGTGCTTCGCGGGGAAAGGAAGGCCAGGCCGGGTGGCAAGGTCGAAGTGTGGCGGGGGCTTGCAGGCGAGGGGGTGAACCGACATGCGAAGCAGGGCTGAAGCGGGAAGCGAGGTCACGGGCGGGGCCGAAGTGGGAAGTGGCATGAATGGACTAGTGGCAAGGCGACTCGTGGGGCGGCATCCTTTCATGCGAGAGAGAGAGAGAGAGAGAGAGAGAGAGAGAGAGAGAGAGAGAGAGAGAGAGAGAGAGAGAGAG